TACAGCATTGTTCCCGACTCCATCTTGAGAGGCAGAGCCCAAGTATATTATATTTTTTTCTTTGCCTCCAGATTGAGGAAAAAACTAAGACAAATTACTCTCCTCCATCATCAAATGTTTGTTGAATGAATCTTTTCTTGGCACAAAGAAATTTGTTAACCCACAAACATGAGATGTAGGGGTTGGAGATGAGCAAAACAAACAACTTGGGATGGTGGCTAACGAGGACTTAAATGTACAAGCATAGTACAAGGATAGGTCTTAACTGTATTGTCTCTGTCTTTGGGACATGAGGACCAGCTACCTGCTGGGACTCTGGGACTTTAAACAAACAGCTTCCTTGGAACTATCAGGAAGAATACAGGAGAGAGAGGGAGGATGCCAGGTTTCAGCGATGGGAATGCCAAGCTGCCCCCCCCCCTTTTTAATCCATGGTGACTCACTGGTCTTTTTGGCCTTCACCACTCTCACCTAGAAAGCATTGGTGATCATACAGTAACCGGAAGGGTGCTGTGAGGGACAGACACCACCGCGGAGGGGAAAGCACCTTGTAAGCTGTAAAATGCTGTGTAAATATTATTAACGCAGAACAGAATATAGGGACATTAGCCCTGCAGAGTCAACAGGGGAAGGGTTCTCAGTCTCCACAAGAGGAATTGTTAGGACACAATGTGTAAAAATATTACTTTTCTTATGGTGATTTATAAATAGAGCAGAATGCTTAAAATAACACAACAGCTGAGTGGGGGATGGGGGTGGGGTTCCTTCTGCAATGGGTTTCTTATTTTTTCCTGTTTTGTTTCTTAGAAGGATCAAAACCAACATCACCACACACGTATTTTCTGCTTCTACCCTGGCAGGTTATGCTCCCTACATCCAGTTTGAAATGTTCTTTTCCAAAGAGCTCTTGGAAAAGATATTCTTAAATAGAGCTTTGATTTTTCTTTTTAAATGCTTTTATTTTGTTGCCCAACCTCTCCTAACCATTGAAGGGAAAGGACAAAAACCCCAAACCAAGATGAAGCTTTGGAGGTGCCAGGCATTTGACATATCACCTATTGAGTCTGTGGCCAGTCTCAGTGGGTGGATATTGATCTGTTTTCTAAGGGGACACCTAAGCCCAGACAGGTGAAGTCATCTGTGTGAGAAATAATAGATGGGGTCACACAATGAGACTCACTGGCTCCTAGGTTGGTGCCCCTTTCTCCATACCATGCCCTGTCCTTCGCACTAAGGCTGGCCTAACGTCCGTCTCCATTTTCTCTCCAGAACAGTTAATATCTGAAAAGATGTGGGTAGCTGGGCTCTTCTCAACCACAGAAGGCAGGAAGAGGCTCTCTCTCTCTTACAGTTGGAGACGACTTCCCAACCACTGGCTTGCTGGCCAGGCCAGTCCCTTTCTGTCCCTGTGTAGCTTAATTGCCATGCTTTCCTCTCTGTGAGTTTCCAGACTCCGCGCCAAGAGCCTTAAAAGGCAGGTAAGGGAGAGTTCTCTGCTGACCTGGCAGCCAGCCATCACCCCCAGATCTGCTGCTAGCTGCTTCAGAAAGAGATCAACATGGAAGGCATTTTTCTCCCAAGTGAAATTTACATATCGGAACCTTGCTGACTGAGGCAGAAATGAGGGCCCTAGGGGTGAGGACCAATCTTTGGAGGGGAGAGGGGTGCTCATTTTATGACCCAGGAACGAAAACATTGTTAATAATGAATAAAGTCCGAAAGCAGTAAATCTGAGACTCCAAGTAGGTGAGTAACATGTCAGGGAACGGTTTAAACCCTCCCTCTCCTGCAGAGGTGCAGCCCGAGTTTCATTAAATAGCCTTTAAGGGTTAGGATTACAAGAAGCTGAGTCCCCCTGGTTCATAATGATGATTTATGACTGTGTTGTCGACTCCTCGACCCTTCTGTACAAGGGGATGGAGAAAATACATAATTTGCTGCTCATTAACTGTGCAATCTGTCAGGGCGGCTCCAGAAGCCATGTGGCCCTGGAGCCTTGCATCTGCAAAGTGGCTTCAGCCCGTCTGTCCTGGGGACACACAACTGCCCTTCCACCAGAGAAAATGGTTTTAATAACAGTAGAACTAACAAGCTAATCTCTGGGTAGCCCGCACTGTATCTTTGACCTGAGAGACAGTGGGCTTTACTCCTGTCCTTTGCTGGACTCCATCCTTCAGAGCCCCAGAATCCCCATCTGTACAATGGTCTTGTCTTCTGGACAGAGCTGTGGATCAAATGAAACAACACTTCAAAGGAACTGTGGGAAATGGCTGCTGGGAGGACCAATGTTGTCAGGAGTTTGGAGTAGCATGTGGTCTCTTTCTCCCTCTTGATCTTCCCTCACTACCAGGATCTTTACTTGTAGCTCCCTGAGATGGCCACACCATGGGAGTTTTAGAATGTTGAGAGGTTAGAGGTGGAGAGTCCCTGAGTTGTAATAAAACCCTTTCTTCCTAAAGGGTCCTGAACAGAAGTGATTCTTGTCTAAAAACTGGTGCTTGTTTGCAGTAGAAACCCACATGTTCTTTCTTACCAAGAACAGAAAATTACACCAAATGATGCTTAAGCCACGATTTCTATATCTAAGTCAGTGGCCTGGGCCTGGAAACTCAGGAGCAATCTAAGGGCAGGCAGTGTACCCAGGGCCTTGGCTCTGCTACTTGCTTGTAGGTGTTTTTCACAAGTAACCTTCCTCTGCTGTTGTCTGTTGTTACCTGCTGCCTCTGCTGGGTGAGGAAGCTAGTTTGGAAGCTAGCGTAGCAGAGTCAAGGGTAGATGCCATTACTATTCTGAAGCACTAAAACAGGATTCTGCAAATAAAGAACTTACTCCAGATTCACCCAGTGGGTGAGGACTCCAACATGGCCACTTGATTCTCATTCAGTGTCCATCCCCCTCGATGTAAACACCTGAGTGTGATTTATAAGAATCAGAAGGAGTCAGCCAGCAAGACTGAGGTAATGGACATCTGGAGCGTGTTAGCCTGTAAGATTCCATAGGGTAGAACTCTAAACAGGTTGGGAAAGGGAATTGGATCAGGAATGGTAGGAAAGAACTTTGGGCACCGAGAGAGAGCACCTGGGTCCAATTTTTGGGTGCAAGTTAATTTGGGCTGTAGTCTCGGCAGCGTAGAATAGCTGCTTTCATATGCGACTTGCTACACCTCTCAGATTTTAATCTCTGTGGTATGTTATCAGAGGGACATTGATTTGCAAGGATTAGGAAACATTTCCAGTTGTGCATCTCATCTCCTGCTCCCCGACATCTGTCTGTTCTTTCAGTGACTGTTTCTGAACACCTATGGGGGAGTTAAATATTAGTTCTGCTTCCTCAGGCAATAGTCAGGCAAGTATGCTGACTGGGGCCATCCTGAAACCATCTCTATCCTGTAGATACATCCTCAATGTGATCTGGGAAAAGTGTGGCCCTTACAGTACATTTGTCAGCCAGGGCTCTTGGGCCAGCATTGTTCCCACCCTTGCGCCTGCTTGCCCCTGGGTCCAGCTGGTGTGTTTACGCTACACCCCATCCTTCCCTACAATTTGAGGCCTTTGAGGACCTGCCTGCATTCGGCTCTTGCTTTGGTGTCTTAACCCTCTGTAAAGGAATAACGGAACCTCTGCAAAGGAGTGCCCCGGATGTGCCGATCTATTGCTTCCCTTGTGGTTGTGAACATATCTGCTCACTGAAAGGGCGAGTGTGGTTCATCATCCTCCACGGAGGAAGTGTGAAAGGGAATTTTGTGGTGAGTGATGAGCTGACCATCACCGTTCCTGGCCTGGGGTTGCAACCAGGAAGTGGCCACAGCTGTGCTGTGGAGTTAAGAAAGGAGAGCAGGCTGCTCAGTTGGGCATCACCCAAGGCAATTTAATCCAATGACAAAGAAACATTGTCCACATGTGCATCACCAAAGGCAATTTGGCCTAATGACAAAGTGATGATGTCCATATTCACCTTATAGCGTGACAGCTGGCCCATGCTTACTAGAAAGCCAGGCAGTTTCAGCGGCAGGGATATAGTACAATGTGGAAGAGTGTGTGAACCAGCCTCAATATCGAATGAATGTTGGCTTTTATTTCAATGTTATTTTGTTTTTGTTTATTTTTGAGACAGAGTCGCACTATGAAGCCCAGACTGGTCTTGAAGCCTTGATCTTCCTGCCTAAGCCTCCCTGTGCTGGTATTGTAGGTGTATGCCACTGTGTCCAGATTAGACCAGTGGGTTTTCACTCAGTGTGGGGCCTTGGGCTCAATTCTCAGTGTAGAGAATTAAAAGTTAAATAATAAAAGAAATCTCCCTTTCTATGACTCAGCACATTTCCTGACAATGCTGTCTCATATAAACCACTGACTCTGCAAAGGCCAGCAGCCTCCTTTTATGGGGAAGGAGGCTAAAGCCTGTGAAGCTTGAGGAGGTTAGTGCTCAAGTATTGTGGGGTAGGTGGCAGGCAGAGCCTGAACTCACCCAGGACCTCACTGTGGTATTTACTGTGGAAACCCTAATCAGTACTAGCACCAAGGCGGAACCCTCACCAGAGTCAAGCTAGTACTAATAATGTCTCCCACATCCCAGAACCCTAAGATTTGCTCAAGTGGGTTCCTGACATGTAGTCACTCTTAATCATGCCCTTGAGTCTTTATTTTCTTTTGTTTTCTGTAGGTGAGTCCTTTTTTTGATGGACATATGTGCACATGTACAGTAGTCTCCCACACATGTATATACGCCTATTTATGCTTGTTGGGTTTTATTGTTGTTAGATACTCTGGCACTGTAAGAGTCGTTTTAAAGAAGGAAATGACAGCCGTGTCATTCATTCGCGCTTTGATTTTTCATCCCGTGTTTATTGAAATATACATATTTAAGTAGAAATTGGGATTTTGAAGATTATACTTTGTAGTTAAATACTGAATATATTCTCCGGTTGCCACTAAATGTGGCCAGCAGCATCAGCTCTGAGGGTGTCTCAGCTCTCCCTAACTTCCTTACTGGTTTCATTTCAGATCATCACAGGGGAATTCTACCGGATCTATTACCTCAAGGAGAAGTCCCGATCCACCATTCAGAACCCGTATGTGGCCGCTCTCTACAAGCAAGTGGGTTGCTTCCTCTTTGGTTGTGCCATTAGCCAGTCCTTCACAGACATCGCCAAAGTATCCATCGGGCGCCTGCGGCCTCACTTTCTGAGCGTCTGTGACCCGGATTTCAGTCAGATCAACTGTTCTGAGGGCTACATTCAGAACTACAGGTGCAGAGGGGAAGACAGCAAAGTACAGGAGGCCAGGTAGGTTGCCAGCACCACACAGACACAGCAGGTGCCCTTCTTGATGCAGTGTTATTTTGAGAGAACCTACCGGGACACCCCGGGTGTTGGGCTCTGGTCTAGGTGAGGAGAAAGCATAGTATCTATTCTTGAAGAACTCATAGCCAAATGATTGAGACAGATGTGTGAAGATGTCATTGTGATATAGCACTGGTAAATCCACTTCACTTGTTCGCTCGTTCATTCATTCATTCATTCATTCTCTTGTTTATTTGTGCATGCCTGCTATGTTCCAGGCATGTCTCCAAAGCACCACCAAGGATGCAAACATGAACAAGATCTGTGTCTGCTGTCAAGGTTAGAGTCTAGGCAGGGACGACAGAAGAGTGAACACTGGGGATGTGAATGTGGTCTTTTCATAGCCCTCTCTTGTTCTTGCAGGAAGTCCTTCTTCTCGGGCCATGCCTCCTTCTCCATGTTTACCATGCTGTATCTGGTGGTAAGTGTGTCCTCTGTCTAGCAAGAGCAGAGCCCAAATGTAGCTTACCCCTATGGCATCATTGAGGGCATAGTTCATGTGAAATCCTTGAAAAAAAAATGCCGAGAACATTAGCTCTCACCAGGAGCTCAACACTGCCATAGATAGCAGTCTTGTTACTTTCTAGGCTTTTTCTCGTTTTTAGATAAAAATCTGTTCAGCCTGCTGCTAGATAGGGGCTGTGTGTCCATTTTGAAATTATAGAGTGATAGAAGATACTGGTGTAGTGGTTAATGCTATAGCATTGCATTCTGTAAGATGAGACTCCTTGGTCTTTAGAGTAATCGTAAGTTACAGATAGTGCTCTGCTCTGTAGTGGGAAAAGATTATTAGGGCCAGAGAGTCTAAGCAAACTGTCAAATTTACAGAAGCACCAGCTGTGACTTGCAAATCCAAGGTTTCTGATCTGGTTCCTTGAATTGTGCACCGTATGGGTTTGTTTCCTTAGTACACTGATAGAAAGACTTCAGGAAGCTTCATTGTATCACTGCAGAAAATTTATACAGATGGTGTCATGCCTATAGCATGAACTCTCTCTTCCACCTTACTTACCTGGCTTCCAGGGACTGAACTCAGGTCATCCGGCTTGCTTGCATCTCACTACTGGCCTTCATTATTTTGCTTGCTGAGAGTGATTTTGATTTTTACAAAGTACTTCTATGTCCAGGAGGACACAAAGTGCAAAATACAAAGTCCTACTTTCTGGGTCCAGAGACAGTGAGAAATTGTGTCTTGAGTTCGTTTGCCTTGGAGGGTGGAGATGTTGCCCCTCTCTGGCCGGCTTCCTGGGACATACCCAAACAGGGCAGGTAGACGGCCACTCTAGCTGCCTGGCGAATAGCAGGCCCCACTCTGCTTTCCTTTGTCCTCTTACCCCCTTGAATGAGGTCCTCAGCCAAGGCACTTCCTGCATTCAGCTGCTTCAGGGGAGTACAGAGCAAAAAGGTGTGGAGAGGTCAGACATAGCTCGGAAGAATGTAAGCTGTTCGGAAAAAGAACATTTTGATTTCAACTTATTTAAAAAACATAATTGGGAATTGGAAAAAACAGGGTTTGTTTTGTTTTGCTTTTCCCCCACTCCTTTCCAAGTTCAGAGGCCTCTGGCTTCCCATTACCCAGGATGCAGTGCTGAAAGGTGGGCCCCAACCTATAAAAACATTCGACCTGGTCCTTATTTATTCACGAACAGCACTCCCCTCCAGTCTTCGTTTGCTTGTTTTTGTTTTGCTCTTTAAAAAAAGATAATTTAGCAGATATTTAGGTTTCTGTTCCATGTGTGTATTTTACCAGGGCTGGAAGCAATTTCACAAATGTAATTCCAGGATTTTGTAAAAGTGCTTAGGAGAATTGTATGTGTTCATCCCCCCCCCCTCCTACCCCATGTTCCTTCATTTTATTCCAAGAGAAAAATACTGAACTCTTTTGAAGCCAGCACTGGGCAGGATGTCCTTTGCAGCTGCCCAGGTGTGCGCTGACATGTTTGGGGTGCAGGTTTGGGGTTCCTGCTATGTGCCAGGCACTATGCCTGTAGCTCACAACAAAACATTTGCTTCTCTTTGTAGCTTGTGGGCTTGGCTTTGATTATCTTGTTTGTAGAAACAGACTTGAATCTGAGAAGTTAATAACGACATCATACGGCCAGTATAATAGAAAGGCACTTGAAGGGTGGTCTTCTCCAAGGGCACTGTGGCTTCTCATTATACTGGCTACCAAAAACAAAACAAAAACCTGAAAACAAACCTTCTCAGACAAAAGCAGAAGGAATGTGAGCTTGACCTAATTTCAGCTCCACCTGAAAGAGAAGAAACCTGCCCTTCTTCACATCTGCTACAACAGTTCCATGCCCTCCCTGGCCTGGCTCACTCCACTCCACAGCCCCCACCAGCTGTGGTCACAGAAGAGAGTCTGTACAAAGGATGACTGGGTGAGAGTGAGGCGGGCCTTGCTATTGAAGATTTATTTGTATCTCTTTGAGGGAGGGAAAAATTGTAGTGCCTTCTTATTGCTGGAAGAAAGACAAGGAAGCTGAGAGGAGAGAGAGAGAGATGCTTAGCCCTTGTCTCCTGGTATACGATCACACGCATGCGCACACACATACCTGATTAAATACACACCACAGGATCTTAGGAACTTGTGCAAAGATGCACACATTCAGTCCTTGAAGACTCCAACACATGCAGATCCAAACACACAGCCCTATATGCCCACCCCCCCACCCCACTCCACCCCCCCACCCCTGCCCCGCCACTGCTGAAATAGTCTCAGAAGCAAACATATGTGAACCAATGAGCACAGCTCATATGCGGACTCTGCTTTAAACTAGTTGTGAGCTATGAGTGAGATACTTCATAGCCTCAGTCTACCCATCTGTAAAATGGAGACTGTTAGATATATCTTATAGAGTGGCTGCCACTTTTCTGATCTGGCTCTAGGTTCTCCCATCTGTCAAATGAAGGAAAAAAAAGAGCAGGACCGGTGCTATTTATCACTCAGTCTATGTGTTTCTATTTTGAAAAAGTTTGAAGTCTTCTAGGTGATGAAAAAGAGGAAGGGAAGTTGTGAGGGACAAACTTCTGTCCACGTAACCCTGGTGTTCAAAGATAGGTGCTGACTAGAAACCCCGGGCATCCCCATAGCATGAGGAAGTAGCAGCTTCCATACCTTTGAAGGGCACTCCAGATTGGGTTTGGATTTGCAAAATGGGTGGCTTCAAAAAACCATGGCCCAAACACCAAATTATCCCTAGGCATGAAAGCTTAAGAATGAGGTTAAGGTTTGTTAGAGATGGATGTAGATTCTAATAAAACCAAACCAAAACAAAAACAGCACATAGAAGGATACACCATGCCTCCCACCTCAGGGCCTTGGCCTACATCCCAGAGGACCATGTCTAGATTGGTCCTCTGCCTCCATGGTTGGGGCATGAGGACAATGTAGTTAGTTAGCTGGATAAAACACCAACACCAGGACAGACACCAATGTGGTACACATATCATCTCCACTGTGCTACCAGATTCTTAGATGCCTTCTAGGGCTCCTGAAGTGCATCAGACCTGGGATTATCCACAAGGAGATGACCCACTCAGCATTTGGCAACTATTTAGTGACTGATATTCATCAGGTACCATGATAAGCATGACAAGATGGAATTCAGTAAGATGTGGTCACGGTGCTTCAAGAGTTCAGAGACCGGGACAGTGATGATAGCCTGGCACCTTGTACTCAAGGGCTCAGAAGATGAGTAGGTTATTATGGCTATTTGGGACTGTGGTGTGCCGCTTGCTGGAGCAGGTAGATGAAGACAAAGCCAGGGAAGGCTTCCTGTGGTGGGAGGAGCTGAAGGGACCCACAGTAAGTAGAAGCACACTCTGTGCCTCCTACCTCCAGAGTATCAAGTGTTACAAAGTCAGTACTGCTTGGTGGCCAGAAGGCAGCAGGAAATGAAGTACACACTTGGTAGTTGATCACTAACATCCATGCTGCGATCATGAGCCCCAGCTTTCCCTTCAGTGCACGTTAGGCTGCAGGGGGTTTATATCCAGTATCCAGGCTCCTCCTTGGAAGACAGCACCTTGCCCTTTTTGCCTTTTTGCAGGTCTCATTCTCAGGGAAACCCTCCCTGATTGCCCCGTTTAAAATAGATAGCCTCATCCTCCATCATGAGCCCTTCCTAACCCCCTGCAAATCCTTAACAAGTGTGCAGTGAATGTTAGATGAATGAATGAGTGTTGGGTGGATCTGAGGTCATTTGACTGTCATAGGTCAACGATCTTTTCTCTTCCAGTAATCTTCTTTTCATCCTACTCATGGGCTTGTTAGATTACTAAGCGCCGTGTGGTCTAGGGACAAGGCTTTCACCTCTTTCCTGAACCCTTTACCCATTGGCTTTCTCTGTGTTGTCCTGTGAGTACTGTTTGTATGTCACAGGATTTGTTGGGTACCAAGGAAACAGGGAAGTGGCTGACCTCTGACAGCCACATTCCCCAGGCTGTGGTTGTTAGTCATTGAGGTTTTGTTCAAAACGTTTGAAATCCCAGAGCATGGGGTCTGGGGTGCCCATGAGGCATCCCCCCAGATCATGGAAGAACATGTTCCAACCTCTCATAAGGACTTGATTGCTGTTTCTAGGGGGAGAGAGGCATAAACCACTGTACCAGATGTGTTTTCTTTCTATTTCATGCCATCTGTACGTTCATCCACCCTTTTGTGGACACTTGTTGTGAGCCAGTACCCATGTGAGCACCTGAAAACACCAAAGATGCTCATAATTTGTGGAGAAAACCATAAAAGTATATAGCTATGACTGAGTTAGAGAATCTCCCTTATTCTGGTTGGGAGCAGATGGAGCAGAGAGGAAGAGCTGTTAGCTCCACCGATGAAGTCAGCACAGAGACTCCCAGGCCAGTGGCTTCCCCTAGCTTCTGCAGGCCGTATGTCTGCCACTGAGACGTGGGTGTTTATAGGTACATGAGACAGGTGCAGTGGAAGAGCCTGAAGCTCCGAATAATCCTGGAGCTTGACTCAGATGACAACTGCATCTCTCTGTGGGATGGCTTCTTTTTTTCTTTAAAGACTGAAGAGATAAGTTCAGAAAACCAGGACTCCGTGTAAAGCAGTAATTTCCTACAGAGACAACAGCTCTTAAGTTAGATTGTAGACTGAGAAAGGCAATGTGTTTCCATGTAATTCAGAGCTCTTCTGTGTCCTCTTCTGCCTCAATCTCTTCATCTGTGCATGAGCACCCTGGTGTCCACCTAACATGATGTGGCTGTTGCTGGTAATTAAGCTTCTACCCAGTGTCTAACTCAGTGCTTGGCAGAGTGGCCATTTCCTTTCCTTCTCTTGATAGTGATGGAGAAATGAGAATTGATTTTTCTGGAAAGGAAGAAAGTGTCACGTCAAAAAAAAAAAAAATCTTTTGTCTTCAAAGCTTTTTAATAACTACAGAGGGAAACTGGTTTACATCATGTGGCCTTCTGCCAAGCACATGAGCCCGAGCTAGGTAGGGAGCCAAGGAGGAGACTGGAAACTAAGAAAGTGTCTCACTCTGGGTGTGGGTGACCTATGCTGCCTCCCAGAAAGCTGCCTTTTCACTCTTAATGAACAGGTCTTGAGAGCAATGGAAAGGAAGGGAGAGGACCGCCCGGGCCTGTTTCACCAGTATGCAAATCACAGCATGAAACCCAAATGACTTAGCAAGAATTAGGAAGCCTTAGAAATAGCCTGGCTCACTCACCAGGTTCAGGCCCAGGTAGACAGCACCAGGCTGGAAGTCAGTATAAGGCGATCTTGTTAGAATTCCAATTCTGTGGAAGCCCAGATTTAAAGTTAAGGCCAGAAGAGAGTCCCATTTATGGATGAGATGTGGATGCCACGTTTCCATATTCATTCCTTTGAGAGGGGGAGGCAGATGTACACCATTTATTGTAATCCTCCTCGCATATCCAACCAGCAGTCCTGTTTTATTTAGCAGCTGGAAGCACAATCTCAGTACCAGCAAGGGAAATTGTTAGGATATAGGAGTATTAGTATTACTGTTATTTTTTAGCTGCAGAATGTATTTCATTGGTGTATGACTTTCCAGTTTTTGAATATAATACTAGCTTGCAACATTTTTTTTAAATGAGCATATCTTGGGGGCTGGAGAGATGGCCCAGCATTTCCAGAGGACCCAGGTTCACTTCCCAGCATCCACATGGCAGCTCACCACAGTCCAGCTCCAGGGAATTCTGACACCTTCGCACAGATATTAAGGATGAGAACATCTTGGGCTGTATATGAGAAAAGAGAACTTCATAAAAGTAGAGTGACTTAGCTGGGGCCCACGTGGGCAATCTAGTTGTTCTCACTGCAGAGCTCAGTGTCCAGCAATGCTCAGTGAGTGGGTTCCTCAGCCCAGAAGGAGCCTGCCCTACCTTCACAGAGAGAATCGAACACAGCAGCAGCTTGGATGTGGTCAGGATAACTCTCACTCTGTTTCTGAAGCTCTCCTCATTCCTTTCCTAAGCAGCTTTGCTTGTTTTATTTTCGTTTGCTTGTTTTTGTCTTTGAGTGCTGAGGACTTTGCAGAAGCTCCCCCAGGCCCTCTCTGATACTGGGAAGTTTTGGTTCAGGATTGGAGGCATGCATGGCAGGGTTTAATGTCCTCTTCTTGGGTGATTTGGACCTGTACCATGGACTGGGAGTGAGCAGAGCCTCCAGAATAACTTACTGTGGTTAAGCTGCAGAATATACTGGAGGCCTGAACCACACTCCTGAGCTGGCTCTTGTGAACTAGGTTAAGCACTGGAAGATCCCATCCATTTGGCGGTGGCACTGGTAGTTGTGGTGGAATCCTATCAACCACAAAGCCTATTGCCACTGCCTAACTAACTTCAGATCAAACGCATCCATTAAGTGGGAGGTCACACACAAGATCTTTCTTTAGTAATTTATTTGTTTTGGAAAAAATTGTCACAGTCGTTGGATAACTATTATGTCAAGGCAAAAGGATGACTCCGTTGTGGACATCATCAGGGTCATTCCTGACCATGAGGCCATTGCTCCATGGTGTTCTGACTCCTAATGGGTATGGAGGCACAAGTTGCCTCTGCTGGCTGTCATTTGCAGTCCATGTGAGGAATTCTTTTCCCATGGCCCATACTCTGTTCCCATTCACAAGCACTCCCTTCCTCTCTTCCTGGAGCTATTCTGATGCCTGTCTCCTCCCCAGTTCCGCTCCCGTAGGAGATTTTTCTTTTCTGGAGCCCCAGCCTGAAGCCTCTGAGTCAGTGGCAGGGGAGATATAGCCTTGTCCGGTTGGCAAGCCCGCCCTTCCTCCGCCCCACCCTGGCTTCCAAGGCCTGTGACCTAAGTCTGCAGGCAGCAAGCAAAGGGAAGGGTGGGATTCTGTACAAGTGTTTTCTGAGGCCTGTAGCTCTTTCAGTGAAGGACACACACACACACACACACACACACACACACACACACACAGTTAGCAGTGCTTAAAAGTGACTAAAGAATAAAATCTGGCACTGAGTTATGTATGTGCTTGCTGTGTCGTCTATCTGTGTGGTCCACCAATCCATACCGCTGCCTCTAAGACAGTTGTTATTACTCTCCTTCAGCTGGAAGCAAACTGAGGCATGCATGAAGGCGTTCTGATTAAAACTTGTGCTCATTCTGTTATCCACTCATCTGTCCACTGCCAAGAGTAGCTGGAGGAAGGCAAGCCTGAGTGGGCACACAGAATGTCCCTTCCTCCTTGAACTTGTTTTGGGTCACAGCAAAACCAACATAAGGTCCATCCAGGCTCCCATAGTGAGACATTGTGTAATCCAGGCAGGTCTCAGACTCCCAGTCTGCTGGCCTGTGCTTCCTGCTCGATTTTAGATGCCACACTGGGCTAAAGGCAGGATCTTTTGGTTCATGATGTCAGTATTGCAGCATGAAGGAGGGAGTGATAATGGCCTGATGCCTAGAGTCACCATGACATTTACACTGACTGTGTTAACCCAACAATCCCTATACCCCTTGCTTAAAGCCAATTTTCAAATTTCCAACGCTTCTTTCCCCCAACAGGTACATATTCTCTAAAATAATTAATTTCATGCTAAGCGGGTCTTTTTCCCTGAAAGATTCAAAATCTTTACTAATTTTATAAGTATTTTGACAGAATTAAGGATTTAGTATACAGCATTGTCCAATCTCTGTTGTCAGACCCTTAGTCTTCTGTGGAATACAGTTTGAGAGGAATTGGTCTGCCCAACAAACGGCAGATTCTCTGGCTTGAGTCCCAAGGTCCTCTGCAAACCTTATTTTTCCTTATACCTCATATACTCTTTTCTCCAGCTAGGCTGGACTATTGGAAGTACTGTACTCACCGCCCTCACAATTCTCCCTTACCTTCCATCAAAGAGTCTTCCATCTTGATGGTTCAAGTCCGTCATTCTCTGTCCTTGGCAATGGCACTAGCAGCTCTCTATCCTCTTTCATGGTGTCTGTAAGACATATTAATACAATTAGTGTGCCCAGAACCATATACGGAGTGGAGATAATGTCTCATTTCTTTGTCCTTAGCACCTATTGTAGAATCTACCAGTCCATGGTTCTCTTCCTTGGGTTTTTTTTGTTTTGTTTTGTTTTGTTGTTTTTTTTTTGTTGTTTTGGGGGGTTTTTTTTTTTTTTTGTTTGTTTGTTTTTGGTTTTTTTGTTTTTTCCTTGAGAATGAAATTTCCAGTTTTATTCTCCAGGTGTTCTAGAATGTGCATCAAATTCTAATTGAATCCATATGTTGATTGTTCTTGTAAGTGAAGATTCTAGATCTCTATTCAAAGTAGCCTTTATGTCCCTTACTTCACAAAGGAACTTGTGGGTACATTAATTTGTATCCATTGTCTTCACCTTTGGGATGATGATTTTTATTGCTTCTTTGGGGTTTTAACTGATTATTGCTGACATATGAGAAATCTAGTAATATTTTTCTTAAATTTGCTTAGCAGACAACAACAGTGTATACCCTCTTATTAGTTTTTCACTCCGTACTTTTAGTTTTCGAATGTTAGACTCATTGTGTGGGAATGATGGCAGAGCCACCTGCTCTTTTCTATGGGTGCCTTTGTAGTTGAGGATTTTGTTCTAGACAAGGCTCCCTGCACAGCCCTAGTGCCTCTGGGATCTTCTGTTCTCTCTATCTCCTTTGCCTAGCCTCCTGGCCCTTGGCATGGTCCTTCCTGGCCACCAAAAGGAAAGTGCCCCATTTGTGTCTAGAAGGGAGGTCTGGCCTTTGCCCCTGCCTCAGGTCTGCCATGAGGCTAGCAGCCCCTCCCTCTGCTCTTTCCTTCTCCCGGCCTCTCCCCTGCTTTGATTTGTAGTCGGAAGTTCGCCCTTGTTCCTCTTGCTTCTTCCCCCTTGTTTCCCAAGTTCCCACAGGAACCTGGGAAGTAGGTTGTGCCCAGAGGTTAAAGCGGAAACTCTAGCAAGATAACTTCAGAGGGGACAATACCCAGTTGACGTCATTTCATCTTTCCTTGGGCCAGAGGTGGTGTTTTGGGTGGGTTTTTTTTTTTTTTTTTTTTTCCTTGTCTTTTTCTTACATTTTTCTTCAGGTTACTCTTCCACCCCACCCAGGGCCAGTCAGTATCTGTCACCTCCCCTTGAAAGCTGTCTGGCATTGTCTGGCTGGTTTATGTTGCCTTCTTTGCTGATGCACAATCCAGGTTCCTACTGATGACCTGGACACTTCTCTTGGATAGAGTTGCTTTCTTTCCAAGCAGGAACATCCCCTTGCTGGGAGTGTCTGAACAACTTACTGAAAGTTTCATTAATATTTTATTGCTGTGGCAGGGGATTGCTGGTCCCTGGGGACTATGCAGCTATAATCCCGAGAAAACTGACAAATGGGTTAGTAAATCGTTATCAGTCCTGCAACAAAGCCTTTGCAAGCCTTGGTTACTGTTCTCCAAGTAGTGCAGATCCAGAAGATAAGAGGAAAGTCACATTTGTTAAATGCTTGTTTTATGCCTAGCAGTACATAAAAAAAAAAAAAAACAAACATTCCTATGTACTATCATACTCAAGTCTCATTAGCTTATCCCTCTAAATAAACTCACATTTTTTATGCTATAAAAACTAAAGTACAGTAGCTGGCATCATGTCAAAGCTAAATACTCTATCTACAGTATATCACACCAAGTCTAGATGGTTCCATTTAGTCAAAATGTAGAGCATGCTGGTCTGGTGTCCTAGTGCCCATGAACCAGACGTCATTGAGCATCTCTTTATCTCTTTCCTTCAGCTATACCTTCAGGCCCGCTTCACCTGGCGAGGGGCACGCCTGCTTCGGCCCCTCCTGCAATTCACTTTGCTCATGATGGCCTTCTACACGGGATTGTCACGTGTATCTGACCACAAACACCATCCCAGCGATGTCCTGGCAGGTTTTGCCCAAGGAGCTCTGGTGGCCTGCTGCATAGTAAGTAACCCTTTGTCCTTAGCATGCAAACAGAAACCCCAAACTGCTGCTTGTTAAATGTTTCCAGCTCAGTGGCTAAAACTGTGGAGTCTTCATGCCTTTTCTCTTGGTGTTCCAAGAGCCGCTGACTCTAGCACCCCATTGGTAGACAAGAAATGATTGAGAGGGTCTATGAATCCTCTTCTCCATGAGCACTAAGTTTGGGCTTATAGAATGATACAATTAGAAGACAATTTAGATCCAGCTGAATGTGTGTGTGACCACGGTAGACTAGAACATTGCACAAGCACACATGTGAGTAATTGGCAGGATGTCAGTTTCCTGACACAAGCCTATGTATTCACAGCTTTGGTGGATGCTATTAGTCAGTGGCTGTTCTCTGCTTCTTGAGAAATATCTACATCCTTCTATGATCTCCAGGGACCTTGGTCTTTGCTGGCTAGAGAACCAGAGGTTTGCTGAAGGAGAACCCCTCCTCTGGCCAAGGATCTTGCATATCATCACAACTCCATACAGACTGAACTTGGGGTGGGCCACATGTTGGTTCCCCTTAAAACAAATGGGTTGCTTTTCTGTGTTTTTCATCCTGATTCTCAGTGAAGATGGGACAGGCTCTCCATCTCCCTGCCTCTCCTGCCTCTTTCCTGCATCCCAGATGCTGAGTGTGCACAAGCTTCAGTATTAAGTTTCTGGAGCCCTTCTTAGAGAGGTATCACCCCATTCCTGTAGGAAGTCCTGAGGACTTAAGTGGGACTTCGATAGGACTGCAATAGACACATGGATGGGATCTCAGCAGATCAGCAAAGGCCCGGCACAGTGTGGTCAGCAACAGGTCCCTGTGTGCAAAGTAGACGCAGTAGACATGATGAAAGAAAGATCTGACCAACCTGCCAGCTTGGGTGTAGGAGGCCTATCTGGGAGACTGGTGTCTTGATGGCTGTCTTCAGTGTGCATGTGCTCTCACGTGTGTGTGTGTGTGTGTCTGTGTCTGTCTGTCTGTCTGTCTTTGTGTGTGTCTCTATGTGTGTGTGCATGTGCTGTCTCTGTGTGTGTCTGTGTTTGTGCTTGTACTCTCACAGTGTGTATGTGTCTGTGTGTGTGTGTGTGTGTGTGTGTGTGTGTGTGTGTGTGTTTCTCTCCAGAAGAGAAAGCAAATTAGGGGAGCCAATTGTTACCCAAAGCAGCTGTCACCCTCCAGCTTGTCCCATGGTGCCTGGCCCTTTAATATGTGATGACAGTGGGGGATGGGTGTTTGCACCGAAGGGTAACTCTTTGCTGCCTGCACTCCTGAGCTTTGCTCTCAGCGGGATGGCAGCCCACGGAGCCTGCTACTGTGCTTCTTTGTGCGTGGCTGCCACTGCCCTAATTGGAGTCTCCCTTACCCCCAATTAAAAAAATGAAAAGGTGCGGGGATCATTCCTAGCCTTCCTCTCTTTTATACTGCAACTCCAGAGCACTGGCCATGAGCAATTAGACAAAACTCAGGAGAATGAAGGCTTATTTTCCAGGAGGAAATATGGGGGTTTGACTTATATCCTGTTTGGCTCTTGCTGCCTGTAACGTGGGCTGAGAATTTGAACCCGGAGTTTGTAAAGGCACCTACCTACTCTTGGTTGGCACTTCTCTGGATACTTTGCCCTGTGACTTCTTTGAGGCACATGGGGCCACTGCACTGATGGGGAAACTGACTGAGGTCACCCAAGGCCAAAGAGCTGCTCTGAGAATGACTCACAGCCATGCCCTCTGGGCTTAGCAGTGGGGGGAAGGGCACCAGACACCAGGCCACCAGGCCACCAGAACTACCTCGGGCAGAAAGTGTATAGACAGCTGTTTAAAGAGTGTCATTTAAGTGTGTTGCAGGGCCTTCCTAAGCCTTGGGCTGATCCGGTTAGCTTTTTGAATCTGGAAGTTCCTTTTCACCAAGTAGACATCTTGGGAAGAGGTGACAGATCTTCCCCTGTCTTTTGCCTGTCAACATGGGGTGACAGGAACTGGGTCTCATTGATCAGTTTTCTCCACCTGGGACACAGCCAGGACCTCCTGGACCCACTAGCTTGGAAGCGCAACACTGAGAGATTAGGTTTGCCTAAACCATCTGACAGGCCAGAGCAGGGAAGTCTCTGGAAGCTGTGGCTGGTTGCTCAATGGAAGAGTTTGGGAAAAACTCAACAGGGGAAAAAGAAGCCAGCATATCCTTTCCCACAGAGAGATGCTGGGTAATGTGGCCCTGGTTTTGATTACAAGGAAAGACAGACACGAAGCTCCCCAGCTGTTGCACTGAGTCAGAGATGCTGGCCCTGAAGGGGGATGTCTGATGAGGATGCTGGGTATTCAGCCTGGGACCCACCAAGAAGATGGAGGATGTTTATTTGCCTTGTAGAGTTTCAGCTCCGCTCCATCAGCTCCCATGTGCAAGGGAGCCCTAGTGTTCTAGGCTATAGTCTATGGCCTCTGCTCTGCTTACACCATATGACAGAGATGTCCTTTAAGATCATCGAGTCCTGCAGAAAACAGGTGCTCTTCTCACTTATGGATAGAATATATTGTAGCAACCTTTCTTCTTGAGCTATTTTGGCTTGCCAGTCCCCAAATAATGACATGGAGACTCATTATTAATTATGAAAGCTTGGCCTTTAGCTTAGGCTTATTTCCAACTAGCTCTTATGACGTAATTAACCCATATGTTTTAATATACGTTCTGGCACATGGCTCTTTGCCTTTCCTTCAATATGTCCCATCCGACTTTCTGTGAGTCTTCTGTGAGTCTCTCGAAGTCGTCTTCTTCTTAGAGTTCTCTCTCTCCCTGAAAGTCCCGCCTAACCTCTTCCTGCCTAGCTATTGGCCGTTTAGCTTTTTATTAAAACGGTCAAAAAATGCCTTGGCAAAGACACATCTTCACATTGTAAACAAATATTCTGCAACAGTATATCTTTGATATTTATTATTGTTGTTGTTATTAAGATAGGATCCCACTATGTGATTCTGGTTGGCTTGGAACTCATTATGTAAACCAGGCTGGCCTCAAACCCATGGAGGTCTGCCTGTCCCTATCTCCTTCTGAGTGTTGAGCTGAAAGGTATGTGCCACTCTGGATTTGAGATTCTTGACATACAAAGACATCTCTGGGAGTCAGAAGGTTCCACAGAGATATAGCATATAACACTGTACAAGCCACAGGGTGCCATGATGCTCAGGATCCATGTCCTCTGCCAGAAAACCTCTACTTCCAAGCTTCTGAGGCCTCTTGTTGCCTGAGTAGAGATGTGGGTTTGCTAATGCCTGTGGGGAGCTCACTGTTTGTGGCACCTGTTTTCATTTAAGATGAGAATGCAGGAGTCAAGAAGGATTAAGGCACACAGAGAAAATGTAGAGAAACTAGAGCTGACACACTCCTACGATGAGACACAAAGCCATCACTCTAAGACCCCTTCCCTTACCCCCCACACCTCCTCACCTCTCGCATGCCACACTTATTTTATAACACTGAGCTCTGACTCTTGATAGCTACCCACCCTTTTGATAGAGCACAGTCTACTTTGACTTCATTTGTGCTGCAACCTCTTGTATGAGCCTTCCATAGCCGCTATAACAAGTAAGCCCAATCTTCAATACAGCTATTACAACAGCACAGACTTCTTTTCTTTTTTCAAGTCCTGGGAATCAGGAATCAAAAGTGAGTCTCACTAAGCCATAATCAAGCTGTGGAAAAGCTGTGTTCTATGGAGAGGCCAAAGGGGGAGTCAGTTTGCCTTGCCTTTTATAGTTACCTGTGTTCCTTAGTGTATGGCCTCTTTCCCTGCCTGACCCTCCTCAGGGATGTTGATTACATTGATAACCCAAGGTCATGTGTCCACATCCTTGCCTTAATCTCATCTGCAAAGTCTTCTTAGTTAGGTGTAAGGTAGTATCATTAGGTCTGAAGAGTGGGTTCTGGATACCTCTGAGGGACCAGTGTTCAGCTCGCCACACTTTCCCCAGTCCCTGAAGCTAGAACTTGCAACTTTCCTTTAGTATTCCCCCATACCCCCAGTGCTTGGCTTTGCCATGGCTTTGGATTCTTCTGTCAGACGTATGGCTCATGTGTCTGCCTCTTCAACTAGATTGTGCAATAATAGTAGGATTCACGGCTTAATCTTGTGCTTGTTCTGTGTGTCTGGTGTGGTAACTGACATACACTGGTTGTTTGATCAGCATTGGGGAAATCATGAATTTCCCCTCTCAGCCTAGTTTCTTTATCTGTGAGTTAGACTTTGAGGCCTTGTAAGCTCTTCATCTTTTATTCAGTGGGACAGTGTCTGTGTAATAAGCTGGGCATGCTTTTTCAGGTGGAGCAATGTTCCTGACCATGCCCTAAGTTTGGTGATCACCCTTATGTCTCCCAGTGGTTTGGTATGTTGCCCTCAGTCCCTGCAGAGCCTTCGACAGCAGTCTGACAGTCAGCAATTTCACTCAAGTCTTTGGAGGCCGGGTTTGTCACAGCAGGCAGACTTGTCTAGACAAAAGCAATATGCCCAAGGAGAGTGAGTTGAGTTTGCCAGCCAGAACGGGAAGACTATGGAACCTGATGACACAGAACCTTCACGGTGCCTTGGACTCAGCACAGATGCTAGAACTCGGTCAGTCAGGAGGACAGCTCACAAGGCACACCTTTGCCAAATGGGGACAGAGGAACAAGGCAGAAGGCCACAGAAGAGGAGACATTCCCTGACAAACAGACCTGCATTATCTTTCATTTGCAGAGAATAAACCTAAAGGTGCACAGAACAGACAGGCAAACAGCTAAATGCTGCTATACTGACCCCTGCTCTCCCTGCCTGCACACCCCTGCAGCTCTCCCGACCAAAGGTTCAAACCCTATACCTGGATTCAACCAGGCAGTGGGACAGAGGGGCGGACATCAGTTCATTTCCTGTCTAGTGACAACTTGCATATCTGGTCACCTCCTTACTGACCCTCTAACAGATGGTAAATTAGGGGGGTACTGGGAGGGGTCAGAGAAG